CACAAAGCACAGTAATGCCAACAAAACTGAATATGAATATTACCAGTGTCAGGTTTGGGGGGTTAGTACACAGCCCAAATCAAAAAGCCAAACTTTATGAAGTGAAAGGTAAAAGTCCAGAAAAACAATGTGAGTCCAGATGGTTCCAATTTTCTGACTCCCCAAGAATATACTTAGTGTCTTCCTATTATTAGAGTAATCATATCTCTTATTATCAAATTGGAGCATTCTTAATAGTAAAAGGATACCATGAATATTTAAATCAATATATTTTTGTAATATTTGTTTACTAATTGGCAGGTTTTATATTAGTGAATAAATTATTGCTGAATTTTTTTAAACCTTGCTTGCTAAAACATATTTGTGCACAGCTTAAAGCAAACAATAATCAACTAGACTTATAGTTAAAGTAGAAATTTTTGTTACTAAATTTGTAATTTTTGACCATCTACTGATCCCTACTTTATAGATTATAAGAAAATATTGCTTTACTAACAGGAATAAGAACAAGATAAATTCTCAAATAATAAAATCTCCTCTTAAGATTCTAAATTCCCTGAAAAAGATGATATTTTAAAGTTAAATTTCTTTTTCTGGAATCCACCCCAGCTAGATGGAACACGATGTTTTATAAGATGTGAATGGCCATAAGCAAATAAAATTGAATCATTCTGTTCTTACATAGCTATCAGAACCTTGCTCTGTCTGAACAACTGGTACTGAATCTAACAGTCCTAAACTCTGGAAAATATAATGATAGACCTTTAGGTACAACTTCGTAAAGATCTTGGCAATAATTATTTCCAAGGAAACATCTCAGTAACATGGTTTTTCCCATTTAATAATGTTTGATTACTTATATTGTTTTTTCCTAAATACATTTTATTTCTTACAGGAGTTTTAGATTCACTGAAAATTTTAATAGAAAGTACAGGATTCCCCTGTACCACCTGTACCATTAAATATCACAACAGAATGTACATTGAATATCCTGATGAAACTACATGATATATCATCCAGAATCCCAGGTTTATAATAGCATCCAATTTAGTGTTGGGCATTCCATGAATTTTGAAACCATTCTAATATAGTACAGAATAGCTTTGTTGCCCTAAAAACCTAATGAATTCTATCTACACAACTTTTTCCTCTTAAGCCAGTAACCAAAAGTCCTCACCTTTCCTGGATTTCTGTAGTTTTGTTTTTTCAAGAGAAACAAAATCAGAGCCATAGAATACGCAGCATTTTCAGATTGATTTATTTCACTTACAAATGTAAATGTCAGGTTACTGTATGCCTTCATGTGGATTCATGGCTCATTTCTTTTTAGTGGCGAATAACTAATCCATTTTAAGGCATCTTGGTTGCATACGGATTTTGAAAATTGTGAATAAAATTACTATAAACATGAGTGTGCAGGCTTTTGTATCGGTATGTTTTTTGATCCTGTGCATAAATACCAGTAAGCATGGTTCTCTTTGTATGGTAAAGTGCAATAGATTTGTAAGAAACTGGTGTAGCAAGCTAAACCTCCACATGTGTCTCGGGCATCCCATATAAGCTCCAGTTATTTTCCCAACTGCTCCACTTCCAATTCTACTCTGTGTATATAGACTGGGAAAGCAGTGGTGGATGGTGCAAATCCTTGGATCTTGAACCGACGTGGGAGACCCAGAAGAAGCTCATCGCTCCCGGCTTTGGATGAACTCAACTCTGGTTGCTGTGACCCCTTGGGGAGTCAAGCAGTAGATGGAAGACCTCTTTCTCTGTCTTTCCCTTTCACTACCCAATTCCACCTTTCAAACATAAAACAAATCTTTACGTATATAAAAAGAAAATGCCAAATTGCCTTAGAAAGTGTTATACCACTTTTGCGCTTCTACCAACAATTTTTGTTACACATTCTCCGCCAGTCATTGTTGTTGGTAGTGTCCTTCTAGTAGGTCTGTGTGGTATCTCACTGTTCTTTTAATTTGTGAGTACATTATGATCCATCATAAAATTTTTTAGTGATTGCAGCATGAATCCCCCAGGGATTTACTGAACACTACAACTCCAAATATCTTTCAAGTACATACAGTTAAATATCAACAAATAAAATGTTACAATTATTATTGAGCACATCAGGAGCTCTACATATTGGGAAGCTATTTTAATGCTTTTCAAACCCTAAAGTTTTCATTAAAAGTTTAAAATCTACCATTGACAGCAAATACCTTCAGAGGATTCCATTGATATGGTATGATCAGTTCTTTGTTTTATAAAAAAGTATTCTAAGAATTAAGACACCGCAATCATAGATTTTCAGACATTCTTTTTAAAAGAAAACACTGTTTTATGAAAAACAATGGCTAGTTCAGGTTCGAGCTCCATATCACCCATGATTTCCCTTGAAAGAGTTGTTGAATTGACACAATATTGGGCTCAGTGCTTATGTAGACTTTCCATGTGCACATACAGGACATTCAGATGAATGAGTTAAATGTATCAAAACGTAACACAACCAGTAAATGTTATTGTTTTGTCAAAGATCACACATTTTCAGTTCAAGTGGCATTAATTTTACTGAAGATGTTTACTGCATCATGCAGGATCAAGGACATTTACAAATAAAAGTAGCATTGTGTTTATTTACCGATATGGCAGTAAGAAATATATCAATTGTAAAGCACTAAAATTTGCCTACCATTGATTTTTTAGCATCAGGACGTATTATGACACAATGGGAAAAGGCAAATAACGTCCTGTCATGATTATGAAGCTAATTTGAAAGGATATGGCAATTATTCTAAAGCATTTTTTTAAGATTTATTTATTTTTATTACAAAGTCAGATATACAGAGAGGAGGAGAGACAGAGAGGAAGATCTTCCATCTGATGAGTCATTCCACAAGTGAGCGCAATAGCTGGTGCTGTGCCAATCCAAAGCCAGGAGCCAGGAGCCTCCTCCAGGTCTCCCACGAGGGTTCAGGGTCCCAAGGCTTTGGGCCATCCTCAACTGCTTTCCCAGGCCACAAGCAGGGAGCTGGATGGGAAGTGGAGCTGCCAATATTAGAACCAGTGCCCATATGGGATCCTGACACATTCAAAGCAAGGACTTTAGCCATTAGACCATCATGCTGGGCCCCTAAAGCATATTTTTAATGCCATTGCCTTTTCAAATGATTCTAATTGCTCATGTCATCCTTTTCTAAAAAAGGCCCTTTTTAGAAGTCATTTTTCAACCTAGATTTTAAATATCATATAAACATATTAATTTGTCCATTTTACATGCTCCTCTGTGCAATCTGGCTCTAGATCAATGAAACTATTGACTATTATAATCCTTTGCGCTTAGTACTCCCTTTAAAATGATCTTGTTATTGCTTTTACTTGAGGTGTTTCACCTTCTCCACCTTCTGTACATGTCAGTCTTGTCTTATTTTTAAGATTCAGTGCAGAAGTACCCTCAGCACATGCCATGCGTGAATCCCTCTTCTGAATATGCAAGGCATTTAATACCTCTCCCATGCCACTTATTCTCCAGAAATAACACCTCCTATTCCTAAAGCTTAGCTAGTTGCCTTAGTCGGGGTTCACTAAATGTTTGTGGAAGAAACAAGAGTTTGATTGTACTAAGCCATTCATTTGCATGATTCACTGCAGCTGACGTATGTCACTGTTGGCTGAAGTTAGAGAGAATGTCTTTGTTCCCTGAAAAAATTGGTTTTCATTGTGAAACCTGCGGTAATGTGAGGAAATTCAATTCATACACTTGATCTCATTAGTCGATCTGCTCTGCTTAACACTCTCAGACATGTACAAAGGTTTGCTAACTAAAAACAAAAGGGCATTAGCATATTTTGAGTTGTGCACAAAACAGTTGGTTGACTTAAAATTATGCTTTAATGTTTATTGAGACAAGTTTACTGTTGTCTTAAATGACCAGTCAAAATAATTCAGAATGAAGACTGACTCTTGAACATGACCATCTCACGATTTTCCTTTCGGTGTCAACATTCAGTATTTTATGAACTATACTAAAATAGTTAAGTATTCGTATGAAATGTCCACATTATATGATTATGAAATTTCTTAGTGTTGGTTATTTCACACAAAACAACTTCATTATGCTATCTATAAAATTGAATTAGAGGCCAATTTCTCCTTGCTTTGCCTGACCTCTTACTTCAGAAGCTACAACATGCTTTTTTTTTTTTTCTATTTCCATGGTAATTTATTCTTCAGGGAAATCACTGATCAAGATTAACAGCCATCCTACCCCATAGGTAATATTCACCTCTGATTCTGTCTCTGCAGTAGCTTTCAAGCATGTTTTAGTAGTTCTACTTTTCACAAATAACTCCCATTTAGATTATGGAGTTACTGTCAAAGGCTGTTGATAAACTATAAAATTCATTAGTTAATGTTATCCTGCACTAACTGATATTGTGTGCCAGAATTTCCTTCTTCACCAACTATAACCTGTTGGACATTCTCAGTGCTCTCATGTTTCGTGAATAGCAGATTTTTGTATTTAAGTATTACTTTGTGAGCATATGAGCAGATTTGTAAACTAAAATAGTTAATAATTAAACCAAGAAATGAATTGGTGGTACTTTCCTTTTAAAGATGTTATAGGTTAATTCATTTTCTGACTATTAAATACAAAAAAAGGTTCTGTTGAAACAGTCTTGAGTGGATTGGAAACAGGTGAGTGTAACTCAATGAAAACTGCTGATGTCACCCAGTGGTTGTCCCTCCCAAGGAAGGAATGTTTCTATGTCATATTGCACATTTTGTTAGCCTACTTGTAATTCTTATATTATTTTTAAAGTGCTCTGTTTAAATCAGCTTCAGTACATTTGTAGGAAGGAATCAGGCAATGCACAGTAGAGTCTACACAGCTGAAATGACAGAGTTTGATCCTCTAATTCAATTGAGATTACACACAATTATTTTTCTTTCTTTCCTTTGAAGACCTTTTCAAGGTTACTAATTTTTTGCTATGCTCTGCCTAGTTGGGTACACAATGAATGATCTCATTTTTGAATGGCAAGATGAAGCTCCTGTACAAGTGGCAGAAGGGCTCACTTTGCCCCAGTTTCTGTTAAAAGAAGAAAAGGATTTACGATATTGTACTAAACATTACAACACAGGTAAGAGTTCAATGTTCTTCTATATACTTGTGCTTTGTGGTTTCATATCCAAGTGTTTCTTAGGTATACTACTAAGCTAATGATTTCAACTTTTGTATCTCATAGTCATAGAATAAAAAATGGATGCATTAAAAGCTCATGGATGCTTTACCTTATGGGGACCAAAGAAATGTTTAGATTCAAATATTTTTTAATGGAAAGTGCTTGGTTACTGCTGCTCATTTCTTTCATCTAGATGAGCTATTCTCAGTATCTATTCTAAATATGTAATTTATTCCTATAATTTCACCGAACCTCCATCTCGAGGTGGTGTTTGAGCTGTTTCCCCTACTTAACAGGTATGTGAGTTTCCACTAGCTTGAGCTGTTACTCCTATCGTTTCATTACAGTAACTGCTACATCATGGGTCCTGCGTTTTTCAAAGATATGATCTAACCTTTTATTATTTAAAGTCCCTAGTCTCTCTCATCTCCTTGACAAATTTACAATAACTGATCAAAAACTAATTGTCATTAACTCAAAGATGCAGCTGATATTAGAGAGCCCAGGGTTTATATCTCAACATAATGATGAAGGGCAGGCTAGTCAATGGCAATGCCCTTTGACTATTCCCTCAGAGCAGAGCAATTGTGTCAACAAATTACTTTTAAAGGAAGGCTAAAAAAAGCATCCTGAGCTGGGTTATGGAGGTGTATAAGTTTATTAAGGTTGACATAACAACCACACGGTCTCAGCGGTGGTAAACAACACAAATGCATTCTCTTACTGTCTATAATCAAGATGCCAGCAGGATCACGGTTTCTCTCAGACTCGGGCTGATTCCTGCCCTGCCTCTTCATATTTTCTATTGTTGGAAATCCTTGATTTTAGATTCATCACTTTAATCTTGACCTGCATAGTCATATGGTATTCATTCTCATGTCTCTGAGAAATAAGAAAATTCTCAAATTTCCCTTTTCTTAGAAAGACACCAGAAATACCTAATTTTGAACACAACTAATTCAACATAATTTTATTTTAACTTGATTATAACTACAGAAACCTTATTTCTAAATAAGACCATATTCACAGATACCAGGTAGACATTATCTTTAATGGGACATCACCTGTCTCAGAGTCAGAAAGGGATTAAAAACACTAGCTAAGGATATATATTCTTTCAAAATGATGTACCCAATCATTTGAAAGAATACAAAGAAAGTGAGCAAACTAGCTATCAAGTGAGAGAGATAAAGAAATCCACTATCTACAGGTTCACTCTCTGAATAACAGCAAAGGATAGAACTGGGATGGTCTGAAGCCAGGATCCACGTATTTCTTCCATGGCTCTCACTTGGGAGTTAGAGGCACAAGCACTTGGGATATATAACATTGCTTTCTCAGGCACATTAGTAGGGCTGGATTGGATGTAGAGCAGTCAGGACTGACACTGACACCTCTATGGGATGCTGATATTGCAGGAAGTGGCCTTACCCACTATCCAATAGTGCAGGCTCTAAGAGATAATTTTTTTATGTATTTTTTTCATTTTATTTCTCTTCTATGTTACAGTTTCATAGGCTCTTTGCTTTCTTTTATTCCTTCCCAAGCCCATCCCCCAGTGACTTCCCTATATTATTATAATAGTATAGTTCTTCATAAACAGTCGTAAGTTCATCATTCTACTCTTTAAGTGTATCCTGATACTGTGGCCTTGGACAATGCCAGAGAGTCTGGCATCCTATTGTCAAGATATATTTCACAGTTTCATTGTGAGTCCATAATTGATCTGGAAATAGAGATGCACACTACATTGTATTCTCACTTCTGGATATGAAAATGTCAATTACACAGTTACTGTACATCTTCTTAAATGAAACACCACAAAACAAATCAACAACAGGAAACAGAAAAAAAATTTTAAAAAAGTTTAATGACATGCTACTAAATGACTATGATATGTTGACGAAAAAAAAAAGAAAAGGAAAATCAAGAACCTTCTTGAAGTAAATATTGTTACTGTAAGACCTATGAGCCAGTGAAGAATTTAATATGAGAAAAAAGAACTGTTTTGAAGAAATGAAAGTAAAAACAAAGACATCCAAATCCATGAGCTATGGTTTCTGCTCATCTTTGTTGGTATGATGTATCTCCTATGGAAAGAAAATAGATGGATTTTTTTTTAATCCAGCCAGCTGATCTATGACTTTTGATTGATGTGTTTCAGTTATTTACATTCAGGGTTAATATGGATAGGTGATAGTTCAGTCCTGTCATTTTAGCAATGGGTTGTTCATTGTTTGATTTAGTCTTCTGTTGTCATTTTACTGGGATGTTCTCTCCACGTTTGTCTTTGGTTTTGCTGGGTGCTATTCCTATTCTCTGCCAAGAAGACAGCTTTAAGTATTATTTGTTGGGCAGATCTGAAAGAGGCAGATTTTTTGAGACTTCCTTTACTGTGGAAGAATTTTATTTCATTTTCAAAGATGAAGGAAAGCTTTGCTGGATACGTTATTTTGGGCTAACAATGTTTCCCCTTTAAAATCTAGAATATGTCACTCCATTCTCTTCAGGCCTGCAGAATTTCCTTTGAGAGATTGTTGAGTCTGATTGGGACTCCTCTAAACCTTAATTAGCTTTTTTTTCACGTGCATATTTCAGATTCTTTTCCTTATGTTCGACTGGAGAGAGTTTGATTATCATGTGTCATGGCAATGAGCATTTTTTGTCAATCCTATTGGGAGTGCCATGCCCCTTCTGTATGTTGTTTCCCAAATCTTTCTCCAAATCAAGGAGTTTTCATTAGACACTTCAGTGAATATTCTGTCAAACTCAGCTTCTATTTCTATGCTTTATGGAACTCCAATACAACTTATATTGGTCCTTTTAGTAGTGTCTCTTAATTCTTGAATACTTTTTTGGAGTGAGTCAGCTCCATTTCCCGCTTTTAATTATTTCCCCATTGTGGCAAGAAGCATCATCCAATGCTGAGACTCTTTATTCTGCCTCGTTCATTCTATTGTTGAGGCTTTCCACTGAATTGGCTGCATTGTGTCCTTCACTTGCAATAATTCTGCTTGATTTTATTCAGCATTGCTATTTCCTATGTGACATATTCGTTACATTCCTGTATTTGTTGATAAGCAGCTTTATAACAAGTTCTTTACGTTCTTTATTTCCCAATTTCCTTGATGTATTTCTCAGTTAATTCTGAGGTTGGCAATGGCTTTTGCTCCTTTTGCATGAGAGTCTTCAGTAATATTCACTGTGCTGTCTCTTCTTCTGCTCTTGCTCACTGCACTTCTGGTTAGCAGATTCTTCTTATGGAAGGTTTCTGAGCTTTTTCATCCACAGGATAACAGTTCAATTTTACTGCTTGCGTTTAGTACCCAGTTACCCATTGGTAGTCACTTGTGCCATTCCATCTAGCAAGTTTTAGACCTGGGCTCTTGTATAAGGCTTCTACCAAGGTCTCTGAAGCTCCAGAACTTGGTTCACCACTGTCCACCTCCTGTGATTCTATGCTGTGGCTGCACTGTTGCCTGTACAATCTTTCTCCAATGCCTGGTTTGAGCAGTTCCTAGGATTAGGGAGAAGCCAGGTGTCCTAAATATCTGAGTTGTTTGTGGTTTGGATCTTGCAGGAACTTGCCGATCTTTTAGGTTCTAGGGCTAACTGGATCTATTTTGGGTGGGACCCATAGGATGCTAAAGTTGGTACTACTTTCCCTGTGGGACCAGTGCATGTATGAGCTGGAAGTTAGTTCACTCACAACTTAACATATGTGCAGTTCACTCTTGCCTCTCCAGTCTCACAGCCTTTAACACACTGTGGTGGAGTTCTACATATGCTGGCCATTAGGTCTGGGGTCTACCTGGGCCTGTTTTGGGTGGAGCCTGTAGGAATCCATGTATGTGTAATGCACTGAGCCAGAAATGGTTTTGCTCCTGGCTTAGCACAAGTGCAGCTTCCTTTTGTCCTTCCAGTACCACAGCCTTTGCCACACTACACAAAATGGAGCCGGATATGGCATTGCTGAGGGCCTGCCATTTGAAATCCATCCCATTCTGCGCTGTCTGCCTGGGGTCTGCTGCTCTGTCTGCTGTTTGTCAGATCAAACAGAACAGCAAGGCAAGCAGTTCTTTGCCTGGTCTGTCCTCCTGAGCTCCTGGTGAACCTGGCTGTTGGTGGAACTTTGGCTACTGGTGGAACTTGGATCACCACTTATTGACTGGCCACATGGTTTTTATGATACAAGATCTGAAGACCCTGTCTTAATTGGCATACTGCAGAACTATCCACCAAGCTATTACAGCTTAAATGAAAATGTGACATTTGTGAATGCTTGCTATATACAAAGAACTGAGCAGGTGTTTTTCGGATGCTATCATTAGAGAACTCACAATTTCATAGCATAAAAATTTAAAGCACAATAGTTTTACCCAATTATAAAGGAAATGTAAACATCTGGTGGCATTCTCAATAGATATGTGGCACATTTGTTTCAGACTCTTAAATGTTACTACAAAAATATGCATGCAAGAAGGGCTCAGCACAGTAGCCTAGGGCTAAAATCCTTGCTTTGTATCCACAGTTGGGATGCCATATGGGTCCTGCTACCCATTCAGCTCCCTGCTTGTGGCCTAAGAAACAAAGCAAAAATGGCCCATAGCCTTGGGACCCTGCACCTGTGTGGGAGGCCCAGAAGGAAATCCTGGCTCCTGGCTTCAAATGGCTCATCTACAGCCATTGTGGCCACCTGGGGAGTGAATCAACAGATGGAAGATCTTCCACTCTATCTCTCCCCCTCTTTGTATATCTGACTTTCCAACAAAAATAAATAAATCTTAAAAAAAAAAACCTTTAAAAATGCAAGAATATTTTGTTAGCCCTTGTCTAATAACAAATTCATACTCCGCATAGTTCTCATATTTTACACAAATGCAAAATGGAAAACAAACAAAAATATTAAGTTAAATAAAAAGCACAATTATGAATACATGTTCTCTTAAAAATGAAATATACGGGTTAGTTAGGTTTTTATATGCAAATGAATTGCATATACTGGGAGTTTTTTTTAATTCATTTTTTAAATGAAAAGGTGGTAGATTTTTTTAAAGATATTTTTTTTGAAAAGTCAGATTCTAGAGAGAAGAGAGACAGAAATCTCTTCTATCTCCTGTTCACACCCCAAGTGGCTGCAGCTTCCAGAGCTTATCCAGTTCAAAGCCAGGAGCCAAGAGCTTCCTCCAGGTCTCCCACACAAGTACAAGGTCCCAAAGCTTTGGGGAATCCTTCACTGCTTTCCTGGGCCACAAGGAAGGAGTTGGAAGGGAAGTGGAGCAGCCAGGATATGAAGCTGCATCCATATGGGATCCCACCTCATAACAGGCTATGAGTTTAACCACTAGGCTACTGTGCTAGACCCAAGGTGGTGTATTTTATCCAACTTGTTCATTCTCTATTTGTAACCCCACACATTTCAGGCATTACCAGTATACACCCACATATACACACAGAGGAACTGAGCATATGAGAATATAAATCTTTATATTTTTATTATTTTGCTTTAATTAATCAATAATATTTATAAAACGACCAGCATGCAATGTTTCAGCATAGCTTCTAGTATTGGCTGCGGCAGCTTTGACCCTGCTTCTTGTTAATGCACCTGAGAAGGGAGCAGATTCCCCAAGTGTTTGTACTCCTGCCTCCTTGTGGGAAACTGATATGGAGTTCCTGACTTGTGAATTTGGCCTGATCCACCCTGAGCGTTGCAGCCATTCGAAGAGCAAACCAGAAGACGGAAACTCTCTCTCTCTTTGTCTTGCTCTCCTTGGTTCTCAATCTCCTTCTGTTGCTTGGTCCCTTAATGGGTAAATTTTACAATGTTGGGGGAAAAAAAAAGAATGGTGTAAGCTAAGGGAAGTTTTTCTTTAATATCTTTTTATTTTAAAGGGGACAGGGATAGCATTCTTCCCCAATGCTGGCAACAGCTGTTGCGGGGTTGGGGCAGGAAGCAAGGGTCAGGCAGACAATCATGATCACCCACCTGAGTGACAGAAACCTGAGTGACACCGTCACAGCCTCCTCCCAGAGTCTGCCTTTCCTGGGAAGCTGGAGTTGTGAGCTGAGGCAGAGCTACTGAATCTAAGCATTCCAATGCGACATCCCATGTCAGCTGCTAGCACAGATGTCCACTCCTGAAGAATGTCAAGGAGATGCGTGGCACAGATGATGGAGTATAAGTAGATCAGCAGAAAAATCAACTTAATGTTTAGTTGAAACTTAATTTTCTGTTCTGTTTATTACATCTGGTGACAAACCTAAAAAATCGCAGTCATAAACATACAGAACAAATATTTGTTTTTAAGTTATTACAGAGCTATTAATAGGAAACAATACACGTTTCTATTTGCTTGTGTTGTCATTTAAGGAGTCCTTCATCTGTGATTATATTTATCCTTTAGTACTTACTTTAAAATAATTGTAATTAAAGGTCTCTGAAAAAAAAATAGCACCAACCTCTAAAGAAAATACTTAAAGCAAGCAGAAACAGTCAATAAGAAAAGAAGACTTTTAATGGTAAATACGCATTTCTCTAGTTTGCCTCAAGCGATTTTTAGAATCAAGGGAAATAACAGATCTTGGAGGACTCTGACAAGCTTAAAATATTATTTAAAGGTGAAATACTATTTTCTGAAAGAGTACACTATATTGCAATTTTATCCTAGATATTAAAAGAAAAATGAGAAGTAATGATAATGGGAAATTTTATGACAAAATTATTATATTTGATGCCACAATAAAGGGCCCATTCTTCATCTCCACTCTACTTCTTTATGATCAATCAGGGAAGTTCACGTGTATAGAAGTACGATTCCATCTTGAGCGACAAATGGGGTACTACCTGATCCAGATGTACATTCCCAGCCTCCTCATTGTCATTCTGTCCTGGGTTTCATTCTGGATTAACATGGATGCAGCTCCAGCCAGGGTGGCACTGGGAATAACCACAGTGCTGACCATGACCACGCAGAGTTCAGGGTCACGGGCTTCTTTACCAAAGGTAAGTGTTCTGCGACCACATGCATGTACTAGCTTATATCCTCATTAAAGTATACTTCCTGCAAGAATATTATTGTTCATGATTAATTTTAAGAGTAGTATACAAATAGACTAGAAAACTTTAAAACACTGAAACAGACGAAGGAAAAAATTCTACAGGCCATTGATATCTACTATTTCACATTGTCTTTAACTGTTATTTAAATATCTGCGACGTTGCTATTCTTTGTGAAATTCCACAATTGTAAGTATTTAGAAATATATTGAAGCATCTACTTTTCTGAATCTTTAAAGTTTTTTTTAAAGATGATGCAGTACTACATTGTGTGAGCAAACCATAATTTTTCAGTGTTAACATCCTATTATTTATATAATGAATGCTATATACATGTAAGTGTAAGTACATATTTGCTTATAAATATACATGGGTATAAATATGCTATACACATTTCATATGTATTCATAGAGCTTGATCTGTTGCATTGATAATTTGTGTGCATTGGTGTTTACTGTCAAATTAATCTCCAAAATATATAATAGAATTACACACCCACAAATATTCTATGAGAATACTCGGAGAGCTACTCTCTCAGACAATTATGGTGAATGATTTTTGTGGTTTTTTTCCCCTTTGGTCTGAAGTAACCATTAATATAGGAAAAATATACCTAATATCTTGAATACAGTCTATGTTGAGTTGTCAGAGTTTTTATAAAACTCATCCCTCCGTGAGGTTGGCAGAGGGCCCAGTCTTTCAACATTACTTTCTGTATTGTATGCAAAAATAAAATATAGGAATTACTTTCATCTACTCAGCCACACAGATTTTAAAAATTATTTTTCTCTTAAAATGACTAAGACATTTCCATTATCTAAAGTAGTAATTCTGTGAAACCTTGAGCGAGCTTCACTATTTTTCCCTTTGGAAGGGTATACTTAAACGTGTTACAATTACTTAAACTTTGCTTGTATATTTTATGCTTTCTGCCACATCAAACACACTATAAATCTATTGTGATGATTTCTTTTGCCTTTTCTAGGATTTGCATTCTGAAATTCATTGATTAGATTAAGATGCCTGGATTTTTTTGGAGACATGAGATAGAGCATTTTTAATTCAAAATATAGCTTAGCATAAAACAATGCTTAATATTTAACAATACTTATGCTGCCTGACTAGGATTTAATGGTTGTCTTTGAAGTTAATGTCTACTTTTGTCAGCATTTGATTATATTTTCGAAATTGCCCATATTAACTAATTTCATAAAATATTTCTTATGTGAAAATTGTAAATGCATTTATAATGGAGCTAATAAGTCTCAACCTTTATGTGTAAATGTCTCAAGGCTGCTGGTAATAGTGAGAACTACATAGTTAACTAGTAAAAGAAACTTACTTATTGATCTGTTTTACAGACTAAACAGAAATGAAGCTCATTTGTTCTATAAGTTGTGAACCACAGAGAAAAGAAGTGTATAGCTTCTATGAGGCATGACAGAAAGCATTTAGATACGGAGAGCATGGTAGAATTGAGTGATTCTAGACATGAGCACAAATGTTAGAATCATGACAGCAACAAATATGATAGAATGGTTAAAAAAAAGGTTAGGAATGGCTTCATACTTTTTCTCGAAAAAAGAGGAATAGCTTCTTAAAAGAGGAAAGAAATTTTCAATCCTGAGTGTTCAATTATACATGAATATTGCATCTCTTTGATCATAAAGATAATACCCACCGGGGATGTGATGACAGCTGTAGCTGTGACTCATAAGAAGAGTGGTTTGGTAAAGTTACAACCAAAGAAAAGGTGACCCGAGGCTGGCCTTGGTGTGCTGTGGGGTAACTGCAAACTGCTTCTTGGGGTACCCACATCACACACTGCACTGCCAGTTTGAATCTTGACTATCCTGCAGTTCTTACTCAGTTTCTTGCTAATGTGTCTGGGAGACAGGGGATGACAGCCCAATCACTTTGCATTCTTCACTTCAAATACAGACAGAAGTTGGATACATATTTTGTGCTTTGTGACAATTAAGAAGTAACAGGTTGGACATACACAGTTTTAAGAAGGCATACACCAAAAACCCAGGAGAAACAAGAATTAATCTATTGAAAGATACCACTCAAAATGATAGAAATCATTTAAAATACAATGTGTAATAAATGCAGTATCATAATATACAAGACAATATTACAATGTAATTCTGATTATGTGGTGGGAAGGCTTAGAAAAAAAAACAGGAGATAAGGGCTAATGGTTGCATTTAGGAACAGATATCTAAAACCATATGCCTGTGTACACTGTATATACTCACATACCAAGTTATAACTTCAGAAGGGGTATGGGAATCTCCAGATTCTCAATTCATTTAAATAGTAGCTCTTAATACAATACAGTGTGAGCTTTTTTTTGGTACAATTGGCTATTTCAGCCCACTTCCTTTACTACCATTCTGCATGACAAATAAACCCCAGACCACAATGTTTGACGACTATTCTAGTTTTCATATGTGTAAGTGTGTACGATGGCCATGGCTGGTATTAGATCAGTTTGCATGGACTTGGTTATAGAGCAGATTCAGGGATGCTGTCTCTGTCTTTTTGCTTTAGAACCTCAAGTCCCAGTAATGAATTCTTTCAATGGATGTAGGCAGAAGAGCACAAAGGCAAGCAGAAACATGCAAGGTTTTTGCTCAGAAACACCCACTTACTTCTGTATTCATTTTATAAATTATACTGCATCTCATGACCAAACCCAAAGTCAGTAGGGTATGTGTATGCATCCACAGGGAAGCCTTGTAGAAGGAGGGAGTAAAAATGAATGCAATAAATGCAAATGCAAATAAATATTAGTATCTACCCCAAGGCAAAGGCTGCTTTAACCTTTCTGCCTCCCCATGTTTTGTTTGTATTTGCTGGTATATACTCATCAAAACAAGAGGTGAAGAATAGGTGAAGAAGAGAACAGATGGCTGTTCAACTTGTTGCACAACATCGGCCCCCAAATGCAAAATTATTATACAAAATTTTGCATTAGAGGGAACTGTATGACTAAATGTACTACAATATTTTAAAAGAAAGATTAAGTGTGTTGTTAAAGAGATCTGAAATAAAATATCAATACACAAGGGTATGGCACAAGCAGAGAACTCCTCAGCATACTTTAGAGGAAATGAAATTATCCATATTCCTGAGTCAGCCACCCTTTCCACAGGCCAAATTACTCATCACAATTTGTTTGCAACTCCGAGGAGCCAGTGGAATTCTCCAAATTGTCCTTAAACTGAGAAAAAAAAAACATCCTTCTGAAAGGCTACTGAAGATAATTAAAGGATATTCTGTGTGGCTTCTTTTTTAAGTAAGTTGGATGGTTTTAGACATTTAGAGAGAGTTCCTACCCCCTGATTCAGTAGTCCCCAGCGAGTCAATGGCCAGGAGAAAGAAGCTGGTTGAGAACACTTTAAGAGGAAACCAAACTGGAAAACAAAACCAAACCCAGAAGCTAAGCACTGCAGGAGAGGATACGGGCTGCCCAAGTACTATTTTGAAAGATGTGCCAAGCTCACGCCAAGACTCTCCTCTTTAACAAACCTAATTACATTTTCTATTCCGGATAACCTTAAAAGTGATGAAATCTTAAACCATACCTTTCCTCAACCTGTGTCTTTTGTTTCAGAAGTACAAAGTAGAAATCTTTTCCTCTTGACTTGCTGTGGAATTTTAAAGTACATTTAGTCACATAAGCTGCGTTTTTCTGCTACAGGCATGTAACAGAGATATATCTCTAAGTTCTCTTGGAGTCAGGGTTGATTGTAACTGGTTTTGGCTGATAAATTTCAGTCAAAAGTGACCTGTGCTATGTCTAGCGTAGAATGTTGATTACCAGGTCTCCTACATAAGCATAGAGGCCCAATGACCTGGGCCTTTTTCTGCTGCTTTCTTAGGCTATAGGCAGGAAACTAGACCAAAATGAAGCAGCCAGGACAAACAGTGCCCATTATGGATGCTAGTTCTATAGATGAAAGCTTGCTATGCCATGACACAGGCCCCAGAGGCAGACTTTCTAATTGGATTGAGAAGATGTGTTTGAAGAGACTAAATTTGTGATATCTTTTTACTCAGACCAAAGGAGAGGTGTGTGAGGCATTGAAAAGGTTTTGTTGTATAAGAATTTGCATGTTGAGAGATCTAATCAGGAAATAGAAACCTGAAGTTGGGAAAACAGAGAAGAAATTGGATACATAAGAATAGGAGTCCGAGGTGTGAGAGAAAGAAAAAGGCAGAGACATAAGGCCAAGGAACTCGTGAAAAGCAAAAGGAAGCCACAGGGTGGTGCCAATGGAAGGAAACCCGAGAAAACTGTCTGCAGAACCTGTGGGAGAGCATGCTTCCCAGAGAAAGCATGCCTCCTTGGGAATGCTTACGAATGGCTCCCAGGACATAGGTCTCTGACAGTGCATCTAATTCACAACCCGTGAGGTTTTATTTTCTCTCACCATGGTACTCAAGAAGTAATACTGAGAACAGATTGAGCCTCATAGCAGAATTGGGAAGACTACTGGCACACAGTCCAGAGGAATGCAACAGACTGAGTGGCACTGCCCCAAAGAACAGCAAGTAGTAAGGAGTGGACAGAAGTTAATAATTCCGAGTCACAGGATGGTGCATTGTATGTGGTGAGCTATTGTGAATGCGTTGGAATCACAAATGTCATCTTCATTTTGAAGCTACTAACTGTAAAATGCCAAGCTTCCTAGTTTCTGAGTTTGATTGTACTTGGAGATGAAGCTAGCCTGGAGGGGAGAATAAGTTGAAACTGGCGAAGGGAGTCAAAAGACAGGATGAGAAAAAAATAAGTTTTAAGAGTTGATCCCCAAGAACTACTCACAATTAGCAGAACCTCAATGAGCAAAAACAATGTTTCCATATATCTGTTGTCACCAAAACCACTTGCTGAATTAATTTAGAAATTAAACGACTTATCCCATCTCTTTGACTCATGCAATAATAGATTCAGGATGTTAAAGAATGTATACATACTTTATGAGTAGTATTACAGTTTCTGAATAAAGTGGAACCTTTGCTTTTTCCCCATTGAAAATCGTGTAGGTCAGCAGAAGTCACACTTAAGTTGTGATCAAAATATTTCATATGTAAGTTAACAGCCTTTTTAACTGTCAAGAAAAAAATCCCAGCATAAAAGAAAATATTCTTTTTAAATACCTATTTTATTGGAAAGTTGGATTTACAAAGAAAGGAGGCATGGAAAGATCATCCATTCATTGGTTGACTCTCAAAGTAGCCGCAAGGGCAGGAACTGAACTGATCCGAAGCCAAGAACCAGGAACCTCTTCAGCATCTCCCATATAAGTTCAGGTCCCAAAGCCTTGGGCCGTCCTCAACTACTTTCCCAGGCCACAAGCAGGGAGCTGGAGGGAAAATGGAGCAACCAGGACATGAAACAGTGCCCATATGGAATCCTAATACATGCAAGGAGAGGACTTTAGCCATTAGGCAATCATGCTGGGTCCAAAATAAAATATTCTAAACGAAGATATTAGCAGAATGATTCTCCGGAAAGTGGATGTCCACATGAGTCATCCATGTTTCCCTTTTCCTCCTGTATTTGAACATTTGATTCCTTCATCCATCTGTCTATATTACCCAGCAGGTACAGATACAGGTGCTGCAGACAGTTGTGTTAATGGGAAAAACAGAGATACCATCAAGCAGAAAGGTAACAAAGTACAGACAACACAGTAATAAGTATGGGTGCCATGGGAGTCTGAATTAGATTTGGATAAAGCCCGATCTAATATTCTGAAGAGCCAGTTGGGAAAGGTGGCAGAGAGATTCCCACCACCCCCCCATTACTCTATTTAGTCTTTCCTCCATCACAACTTTTCCATGAATATCAGAGTGCTTATCCTTTCACATTGCAATTGAAGCTTCATCAAAATTTCCACAAGTTGGCACTTGACTTAAAAGCACAGATGGGAGGGAGGGCCCGGCATGACGGCCTAATGCCTAAAGTCCTCGTCTTGAATGTGCCGGGATCCCATATGGGTACTCGTTCTAATCCTGGCAGCTCCACTTCCCATTCAGCTCCCTGCTTGTGGCCTGGGAAAGCAGTCGAGGATGGCCCAAAGCCTTAGGACCCTGCACCCGCGTAGGAGACCTGGAGGAGCTCCTGGCTCCTACCTTCACATCGACACAGCTCCAGCCATTGTGGTCACTTGGGGAGTGAATCATCAGATGGAAGATCTTCCTCTCTGACTCTCCTTCTGTCTGTGTATCTGACTTTGCAATAAAAATAAATAAATCTTTAAAAAATAAACAGATGGTACCAACAACATAAAAGTAGCCAATTTTCAAAAATGTGGGATGATAATCCTTAAGGCAAATGAAAGCCGGGTCTGAACCCACTCTAACTTTCTGCCTCCTATAGCCATATGTTCTGGGGAAAGGAATTTTAATGTCTGTTAGAGGGAAGCAGGCTTCCAAATATTTTTCCATTTCCAAGTTAAATGGAACAATATCTTGCCTCTCATAAAGGTTAAGAATATCTTTAATTTGAAATCTTGGTAAATGAATAAAACTTTCCACATACAAGCTGAGATATACAGCAAGATGCTGACTTTGTTTGGCATGCACACATCCATACAGACCAAAATGATAAGAGGAGGCATTAATAAAGGATATTTTTATCCTTGAGCAATTGACACATAAATAAAATTTTGTTTGATTATAACATCAAATAACTGCATCATCAACCTAAAATCACAGAAACTTTTTCTTAAAAATCCACTTGAATTATTACCTTTAAAGGACAGGGGTTTGAATATTTGTAGAAAATCTAGGCCTAGCACTTCCTTGTACTATTCCCTTTTTTGTCTGCTTTGTGTCATTTTTCATTTTAAAATAGTGTTGTGTCCTTTCCATTCCTTCCCATGTCATTTCCTTCCAATCTTTGTCTTTGTGGTGACAGGAAGGAACAAAATCTATGGAGTTCTAGCTTAGGAGAAGATGGTTGACTGGGGTCAGGGAAACCAGGATGAAGGGTGAATCCACATGGCAAAGATTCATGGATCACAGTAAAGAGACAGCCATGACTAAGGCCAATGAGGGCTTTACCAACAGGACCTGAACTAAGCAGGTGACTGCAACCAATAGGGTTCACACTGAGAACGAGACTACAATAATTGAAACATTAATTATACCTGGTATGAACAATCCAATACACGTTGATAGTAACGAGAACCAACTTTCACACTTGTGGGAAACAGCGTCACATATACAGAGTGTTAAATCTGGGGTGAGCCATGTGGTGTTGAGTTAGAATTAGAGATGCTAGTGTGAGTTTACAGGTAACGAATACATACAGATATACAGATGCTAAGTTTTATGTGAATAGCAAGTGCCCGTGTGTCAATGTCTTACATTTGTCCAGGGACAGGGTCTATAGGAATGCCACCAGGAAGCAATTAGCACACCTGGAGCACAGATCTTGTTTTCAATAGGGGTTTCTTATAAATAATAAATGACTATAAATAATAAAGAATTGACTTGAAGACTGCAACAAGCAATGTACAAGTTGAGTCTGAAATACCTTGCACCAGAAAACATAAGCAAGTGTTCAAAAGATGCCTTGTCATCACTTCTCGGACTTTTGGCTAGTATCAAGTGTAAATGATGATTTGTCAAAAAGATCCAAGCTATCAACACCTAGGAACTCATATTTGTCTAAGCTGGGATAAAGGTTTCTCTGAAATTAATAGATAAATATGGAATATACTAATGAATAATGTAACTATCCATTGAGCATATTGATTTAAATAAATCAGTGAGTAAACAGATAAGTGCGTGAGACAGGAAACATCCTTACAATACAATGTAAACAATAAATGGATAAAAATGCTGAAGCTAGAAAACCGCAATTCAGTAACTAGCATTATAACAGCTTCCAGAAAAACTCTTCTATAATTGCTAAATCTACTGTAGGAAAGCTGAAAGACTAGTAACAGAACATTGACATGCATCCAAAAACTCCAGATGTAGGAATATTAGAATGTATGAAATAAAATATGGGCAACTTGGGAATGGGTTGTTAGAGTTAGGTGTTGGAATTTTACTATGGGCAAATGCTTGATTTTTATTGTTTCAATGATATCATACCCATGAGTTATACTCAAATATGAGGGGACTTCAAAGTTTATGGGGAAAGAAATTTAAAGATACTATAGAATTCTGTGTACTTTTTGAAGTAACCTGATAGTTTGAAGAAGCTACTTAGATAATTATATTCAAATGTTGACAATTGAGTTACCTAAATTTTTTTTATGTTCTTATAACATTTTTAAGGTTAAAAATCCTTCAATAGAGGCAGCAAGTAAGAATTTTAGTACTCATTTTTAAACACATCGAAAAAATGATCTTACTTGAATTAATTAAATCATAAAAATTTAAAATGTCGAAAGAATAAATGAAACTAAAAAGTCAAAAGTATTCTGTATATCAAAGTTTATATGTTTCAGAAACTATGTTGTTCTAAAACTAAAATTATATTTATATATGCTATACATAAAATTATATTTATATCTGTATGAATGCTAATTTGGAGAAAATTTAACAAAAATGTAACTTTTAAGTCTGATAAATTTTGAAATTTTGAAATATTCATATTAAGAAAACATTGTCAGATTATTTTTGTCATACACAATAATTCAGAAGCAGATAACATTTAGTTTTGCTCTCAAAGAAATTAATAGCATTATATTTATGTGTTTGCTCTCTCTTTCTCCTTGACTAGGTTTCATATGTCAAAGCCATTGATATATGGATGGCAGTTTGCCTCCTCTTTGTGTTTTCAGCCCTTCTGGAATATGCAGCTGTAAATTTTGTATCAAGGCAGCACAAGGAACTTCTAAGATTTCGACGAAAGAGAAAGAATAAGGCAAGTAATTAAATGTATTGAGTTTGGTGAGATATGAATTTTTACTGCCAAGTACATTTTTTTGTTGTTTTCAACAGAGATTTACAGAGAGGACACTGAGACTGTATGTTATATAAAGTGTCATGACAGCTTCAGGGAGAAAATTGTGACACATACCTGTATTCTAAACAGCAGACATGGTGAAAAAAGAGCTTTATCAACTTTTTCTTCTGTACTTCCTGGAATAAAAGGGTTTTGTTTCAATTTCAAAAATACAGAATTTCTTACTGGAGATGTTAGAGTGTTTCTAACAGCTTCACATGTCATAATTCATCAAATATAATTATTTAAAATGTCTCTTATTTGGAGATAAGTTCCTCTAACATATTCCAACAAATATTATTTATTACTTATGTGATGGTAAGTTTATGCAGCACTATATAATCATTTTATGCTTGGTTTCCTGTTTTTGACATTTCTGCTGAAACCTCATGGAAAGCACAAAGCTTTTGTGGCTCTGCTATCGTCTGATGAAAGATGAACTTAGAAGGAATTTGGTTAAGAAAACCATCATAACATGAGAAGGTGTGGAAATAATGTTCTAATTCGATTTGGATGCCAAAAATGGGGTTTTCCCCTTATTTTTTTTGAACTGGCGTGGAACCTCCCTTTACACATTTCTTGCTTGGATCCATACTTTTCTTTGCGTGTGAAAGAGTTTCTAGTAATAGTTTGATCCCTTCTAATCTGAGTATACTAAATGACATTTCAAAAATGGATGGATTCCTGGGGCAATAGAGTAATGTCATATTTACAAAAAATTATGACCTGGCTCTGAAATACTGGAATAGTGAAGTCAAATACAAATGTGAAGCATAATGAGCTAGTGTATGTATTGCAAAATATTAAGAATTTTTTGATATACCAATTTTAAAACATTCCTTTTGAATTGTGAATTACATATTATCATTCATACATTTAAAGATTTTAAGGCACTAAGCTTTTATTTCTCAGTACTTCTGTCTACTCAATGTTAAAACCATCCTAAAATAATAATTAGTTATTTTCAATCAGCACTCAAAAAGCTATCCCTTTTCTAATCATTAACAGCCAGATGGAAACCCTAACTCTGGGAAATTGACTTATTCCACTGCGCAAAACATAGTGCTAGTGTTTGTATTTTATTAACTCTTTATGAAAACAAACACACACTATTTCTGTATCAGATGTATTTCACAGGAGAGATTATCTTTTCATTATCTTCTTGTCCCACCTCTACCTGCTCTTCTGCTCTAATTACATTTCCTAAGTCTTTGTAACTTTTTTCTCTCTGTTTTCTCTCACTCTTTTTTTTCTGCCACTACCCACCTACTCACTTTCTGTTTTCTCCCATGATCCTTGGCATTGCCTAAAATACTGTAATAGGGTAAATGCTGTATCACTGGAGTAAGGTAAAGTTCGTATGTTTACTTCCATTTAGTGTCTGATGAAAACAATTTCTGTCTAATGCCAATAATCACAATTTATGCAGTATTTATATCCCTATCATTATGATAAGCTTTTTCATTTTAATTTTTATCTCTTTATCTTCTTTCCTCTTCTTTTGACATGTATCAGCCTTATGCTACAAATACTAAGATTGAGAAGCATTACATATAAGTGGTGTCTAAGTGGGAGAAGTCAGAAAGCTTAGATACTCTATATTCCTTATCCACTCTACAATAGTCACAGTATCCACTGGATAAAGTTATAAACTTCAATTGAAGACATTTAAATTCTTGTTCCTAACTTTGATATTTGGATAAAGTGCCTTTCCACTTTGTTTTACTGCTTAACGTGTAAGTTAAATATATCTTATATCTTCTATACTGTTATTCATAAAGCGACACAAAGATTGATTTTTTCCAGTGAGTGCTATTCTGGGAATATGTAGAAATTCAAAAATAGCAATGTCTTATTTTTAATGAGTACTTGAAATATTCAGGAGCAAGTGTCATGAAATATAATCAAAATTTATTGCAGAAAGAAGCCAATTATTTCTAAGATCATTCACGCTTTAATGTAGTTTTCCTATCTATATGAAATATCTACTGATATATATGTATGTTAAACAGTAAATGTGATTAGAACCAATCATGTAATTATATTAATCATTTATGACTTGATTCTCTGGTTTCTCAATCCCTCTTGGTCCACTTTACCTTCCCACAGACAGAAGCTTTTGCACTGGAGAAGTTTTACCGTTTCTCAGACACGGTAAATTGACTTTCTTAACTCTAAGTAGAGAAATGCGGTCATCAAGGAAAAGCAGACAGCACATTCTGCAGCAGGACAGTGTTTGGTGGGGAAGCACAGCACTGCTCATACAGAAAGCCAAACACCACCTACCTTCAGTTCAGAGTTCTTTTTATATAAGAACTCCAATCGTGCCTTCCCTCACTAAATAAAAGACTGATTGCAGCGAGTAATATCCTTCATATATTTACAGAGCAATTTTACTGCCCAATAATTTTCAGGATATAATAAAAAGAATTAACATGTGCATCTTGTAATCATTTCCATAGAAGGGACAATTTTATACCTGGACAAAATCAAAGTCCATGCAGTCAGTTTCTAAAAATAGCAGATTGAAAAACATCAAAACAGAGTTAGAAACTGCTTGGTATAACCAATGCACCTTTAGAAACCATTCTCACTGTTTAAATATGATGAGATTATTGTAAATAAAAGTGTCTTCAGAATTCTTTTTTTACTCTTTGAGAAGCAAAGAATCAGCAATAGAGCATAGGACTAAGAGATAAAAGCAGGAGCAAAAGAGGGAAAAAGAGAGAGAGAGAGAGAGCATATATTCACTGGTTCACTCTTTCAGATCTACTTCATGGGCATTCTTGGGAGCCATCATCTGAGGCCCTTCTGTGTTACCATTAGGGAGAAACTGAACTTGCGAGTGCAGCCAGGACTAGAACTCATGAGATTGCAAAGAGTGTGTTAACCATTGGGCCACATGATTCACCAACAAGTTAGCCTTGATGGACACATTCCTTGAGATTCGTGGTTAACCAGAGATCACAAGGATACATTTCTAAGAATTATGACAAAGTATTTAGACAGCCAAAAGTAGAATATTGGTCATAGGTTATTTGACTTGTAATATTTCGTATACCAAAGCCATGGTTCTGACATAGGAACTCACATACTATTGGCTGAAATTTTGAGACAAAATGTTTTAATCTAGCATCCCAGATGATACTACAAAGGTTCATCAAAACTTTGGTGGAAAATATGCACTTTAAAAAGTGTGCAAAGATCTTTTAAATGTTTGGGCATTAAAAAAAAAAAAGCTTCCTCTATTTTTTGTGAATTTTTTGAAATTCCTTCTTACTAAATATTCGTGGTAAGCATCATGTTAAGAGATGCTCACATTTTTAGCAGGCTATTGAAATCCATTAATATTTAAAATCCTTTCTAGTTTTTCCTATAATCTAAAATCACTCAGCTATGTTATTTTGATATTAATATTCCATGTGATTTCACAATATGCTACTTCTTCCTTTGTTTCTTAGCCCTGATAATAAATAATCTCAGGTAATCTGTTTGCTTTCATTGAATAAAATTATTTTAATTGCATGCAATTTAGCTAATCAAATATAGTATTTGCAGAATATATCATATGCACACACAAACACAAACACACAAACACATTAGATCTCCTCTTGGAAGGCAAATAATTTTATCTCTAGTAAGTAAAAAATTAATGTCTATAAAAACTATGGCAATAAAAACACTTATTCTACCAATTATTACTTAACAAAGAACTCTGCTAAGAACTTATGATAAACTCATGAACATAGTCAAGGATTTTATTATTTTTTTTAAAAAAGAGGCAACATGGCAATGCAAATCTTTATATTCATTAGAAAGTATATTCACTTTATTTTGAAAAATACGTCATCCATTGGACTTCTTTGGAGATAGTTTGTCTTCTCTCAGATTTCCCCACCCCACACTGTCATAACCTGCCATGTGCTGATCACCACTGCACCATGTCATGGACGCTAACTCCAGTGCTGTGTATGTGTGGACAGATGCATGATATGAAAATCTTCTTGATGGAAGCTGTTATTCTCATGTATATGCCTTCGTCTGTAGTTCTGGAGGTGTGTGAAAACATGCCAAAATATTTCCTAAGGTGTGCTGTTTGGATCAAAGACAAATGGACTATTGAGAGTGCTTTAGTGCATTTCATATAGCTTCTGTCATGCTGTAGCATAGCAATGCAAAAATTTGCTAAGAAACAAATCCACAGACTTTCTTTCTGCTTGTTACCATGTGTTAACTATTATTTATATATGCAAATTAAATGAGAATGGACCATTAGTTGATATTTAAGAAATTACACGGTTTTCTGATCATGATGGTTATTTCACATCTTTTAAAATAAAGACATCATTGACTGCATTTTGACTATTTGAATATTATTTTATAAACTTGGTAATGTATATGCTGTTTTGTCTTAAAATCAGCTCATGATGACTTTTAAGGAAAAGAAATTGTTTATTTTCTGCTTTGCATATTTTACCAGCTCCATAGTCTAAGAACAAATACAAATATACATGTATACTATGCCATGTATGAATGAAGGTATGAGACTCCATGGTTGAAAGCAGAATGGAATCAATATACTCTGATGTGATAAGCATTTCATTCTAGGCCAGTTTACACTATATGCTAGAGTAAAGATTTATTTTCAATAGATTATGTATTTCCTACAAATGTCTTTGATGCCTGAGCAAAAGTAAGTTCGTGAAGAAATTAAATTCAATTTAATTCATATCGGTGTATGAAATTTACTCTTCTTATGGATGACTATGACTAAATATCATATTAGATTTTCTTGCAAAAATTCATAATTAAACATTTAGTAGTTACTCTTTAGAACTTTGCCAGTGTACATTTCTGTTCAGAATAATAACATGCAATATAGAAATTTGCAATATCTATTTAAGCTAAATTCATATGCATGAAGTGATTTCCATATTAAGAGTAGTTAAATAGAACATTGCCTTTAATATGCGTTGTGTAATATCACATGCAAAGACTTAGCACTGATAGAGTATAACAAATTATATTAGAAATAAAATATGGATTTTTAAAATAAAGTACTCCATTGATTTCCCATTTGTCTCAAGATATCACATGTTCACAATGTTTGATCTAAAACAATCATATTTAAGTATTGTATTTTATCACTAATAGTTTCCAAACTGTTCCTGAACTGAAGTTCATTCTGCTGAGCATAAACTTGGTTAATTTTTAACTAACTTATATTTCATCAATTGTAAATGCAAAGTTCTCCTGGAGCTACATTCAAACACTTTTATACTAACAATTTCCAAGATGAAGTCAGGGTCTGAGAGCTCAGTCCAAGTCTCCATGGTGTTGGGAATCAAATGCTTGAGCCCTCACCTGCTTTGTCCCAGGAAGGGCATGGGCAGAAAGCTGGACTCAAGAGGAGCCAGGACTCAGTGGTAGGCATTCTACTATGAGACATAGGCACCTCAACCAGTGTCCTAACCAATAGGTCAAATGTCTGCTCTTTCCATTTTTTTAAGGACACAGTAATGGGTATAGATGTATATAAACAGATATTTAATTTTAAACTATTTTGTAAAAAAAATAATTCATTAACTTAGCTCAGATTTTTTCTAATTTCTCCCTACAATGTAAACCATTATAATGTTTATTAGCAATTTAAAAATGATGCAAATGAAAATTGACATTTCATTACTTTTCCATTTGGCAATAAAAGTAAGAAGGTTGAAAAAATTATTTAAATGAAACATCCTTTAGCGCAATCTACATAGTATCTTACTTATATAAAGAAAATTCCAAAGCTATCTGCCAGACAGAAACTTTAGGATGAATGCAATGTAGTTAATGTTGTTGCATCCTAAAGGAACTCTAATGATCAACATTTCACGTTGTCTTACATGCTTACTTTTTTGCTGCCATTCAATAGCAATTTGAGCTGGGATTTTATTTTGAAGTTACCCTATAGTGAGTTAATATGCCTCATTTCACAGGCATACTTAAAATATTAATGTTGTTCCATGGAATACAAGTAAGAAACTGAATATTCCTTGATCGCAAGAATTAGATCAAAATCTTGGTAGTGATATGGCAAAACCTGTGTATTGTAACAGTCAGACACTAAATCTACAAGAGTAGAGCCATTTTTGTTTTTAACAAGGTACAAGTGCAAATCTAAATGGGAATAGGAAACTGGGGAATCTGTCTTACACAGTATTTATTGCTAGCTTTGTAACTGAGAGTTTAAACCAACTAATAAAAAAAGAATTCTTACTAGCATTTTCTATCATATTGTGTTTCATATGATTTCCATGGCAGAATTATTATAATAAAATGATAATGCAAATAACAATTTGAGTATTATTTCAGTATTTTTCTGTATTTTCTCTCACCCCTAGAATTCTTTTTAGATGACATAATAAAGCTCTCATAAAGTAAGAAATAAAAATCAGAGTTAAATAGCATAGATAGGTGTCTTAACTGCTAGGCTAATGTCCTACTGATTTACTTTTGCGAGTTACCTCACCAATTGTTCCCTATAAAATTATGACAATAGGCTGCAGGACTGAGGTTTCCTTATGAATGGAAGGGAGATTATAACTGTTCCTGGCCCATGTCAAAACACACTAAATGTGACAATTATTTTTTCTCACTGAGATTAAAATGAAACTGTTAGTCAAGTCTAGCAAAATCATAACATTTTCTTTTTTCCTGCTGAAATTCATGAGTAGTTTTTACCATGTCCAGCATGGTGGAAGCTAGGATTCATTCATCCTGAAGGATCCACCTAATTTTACCAGAGCCCAGACAAGAATTGCCTAGATAAAAATTAATGAGTGGAAACCCTAGTTTAGCATTTCCTTAATCACATTTTAAAGTTCCCATTATCTTCTTTTAATCTTGTATTGCTTAGTATTTATTACAGATACAGATTTGGACTGTCTTAAGGGTTCAGATTTTAATACAACCAATTAAAATTGACAAAGAAATTACTCGATGAAATAAAAAACAATGTCAGATCCTCCAAGGGGGTTACATGTATTATTCCTGTCAATGATTCCTGAAAGAGAATGTTACAGTAAAGTGGGAATAAGCAAATACCCACCATTAGGTTTCCCCCATTGAATTTTGCAATGTTCAGTATATATATAATTAGCTCCTAAATCAGTTGATCCAATGGTCCAAGAAAACACGACTTGCCCACATGTTTCCCATTTCTTAGGAAAGTGACTGAACTTCTTTGTAATGGCTTTGTCTAATTTACTCACATGCAGCTATTGAGCACTTGAGATAGAATAAAATAAATCTGATATTGTACTCATAAAATGTATATATGAAATACATGAAATTTGATCCTTTTATAGATTCTAAAATTGTTTGCGAAATATAAGAGAAATAATTTAAATTGAGATACATTATAACAAAATAAAAACCAGATTTTATTGAATTGAGAGCTATTGTAAATTTAAAATACACACCAGATTTCAATGGCTTCATAGGAAGTAAAGAATATAAAATATATCTGCAATTTTCACTTGGAATAAATGTTGAATATTATTTGGGGAATATTAATCTAAATTGAAATTGATTTCATTTTTTTCTCTTAATAAAATTTAAAATCACATATACAATTTTTTTCGTGGCTCACATGATCCTATTTTTATGGGAGAAGGCTGCACTTTGTACTGGTGTGTGGGGTCTCCTGCCTGGGTTGTGGACCAGTGTCCTGAGGATGAACTGTGACGTTCTTCCAAGTCTTTTCTAACATCTGAAGCACAGGTTACTAAGTTACTTTTCTTTCTGTTTCTCTTTCCTCTAACTGATCTCTCATCAGGGTAATTCACAGGAAATAAGATCTTAACCATTTTTGAGCCACCTTTCCCTCAGTTTTATCCCATTGATCATGCATCTGCCCATTTGTTGAGTATTCTAATAACAGATTTATCCCCAGCTATTTTCCTCATCTGTCATTTTGATGTGATGGTTGAGCAGCAGATTCCCTTCAGAATTCCCTCCCACCAAGTTCAAATACATTAAGTCCAAAACAATGTAAAGCCTGGCCAGATTGTACCTGTGGATAAGATTTGGGGTTAAAATTGTCACTCAGAAACCCCAAACACCAAGAGACTTTAACCTGATTTTGCATTTAATAATATTATATGTGGATGTGAGGTAGGAAATATAATCAGGTGTGCAGCTTATTCACCACACGGAGACTTAATGGTTTCTGAAGTACAGAACTTGCCTCCTTACCCACACAGGAAACGTAGGTAAAACAGCCAAGGACAAAAGTTAGGATGTATACAATTGCCTTGTCACAATGAAGTCACAGCCTGTGTTTTGAAGGAAACTTGTATATGTCCAGTCATATGGGTCAGAAGTCTTAAGTTCAATGTGTATTGTCCAGAGGGCAAGAGTGTTTTTTTTTTTTTATCTTTACAGTAAATTTGACTATTCTCTATTTAGCTTAACTGCATTGTTTTCAAGGAAATGATGCACAAGGACCAAGGGATAATTATTAACAATCCTGAAACAGCTCAGGCTTGATGTTAACTCTTTACTCACTCATGGTTACCTATGTGGAAAGATACAACAGAGAAAAATGTAGTTGTTCACTAAATATTTTCATTTTAAATGAATTATTTGTTTTGAGATCAATACCATTTTTTTAAAGTTTTCAAATTAAGTTCTCCAAACCAGAAGAAGATATCATGTAATTGTCTTGTTAAATATATGTCACAATTCCAAAATCAGCATTTTGATAATGACTTTCCCAATTGCTTCAATTACTATGTCAACATATATGAATGCTTACTGAAAAGTTAATTTTGTTCTTTTTTGAGTTGGGCATTTTAAAACCCATATAGGTTGATGCAGTTTAAAAGGAAGTTTAACATTTCAACATTCAGATGATGTGCACACAATCTAAAAAAAAAATTACCCAAAATGAGCAATGTTAAGGAATATTAGCATGATGTATTGAAGTGTAAGGATGCTGTTTCAGCACTTACTTGAAAATACAGTAATCCCTAGTAGTTGTTTCAAAATACACGAAAGTGGAGGCAAGCAGTAAAATCATACTAAAATTTTCATCGAAACAGAAGAAACAGTCTAAATAAGCATGATAACAAACAGTGTTTAAAATCAATGTAAATTTTTTCAAGATAATAACAGAACTCATAGAGAATATGATTGCCAGCTTTAAGAACAACTTGATTCCCCAGAACTCACATATCTTACAGATGAACTATTTCTCAACAATTGTATGCCTTTGTTTTTCAGGTGCACTAAACATTTTATGTTCATATTTTCATTATACTGTGTATTGAGAAGCTTTTACTGATCCAAAAATGCAAGCATTTGAGTCATTACTTTATCTCTCATATACTATAAAACATTTATAATGCCAAACAAACCAAAGCATGTGAAGAGTAATTTTGTACAAACCAGAATATGTAATGAGTTGAGAGATCTTCTAAAAGGATAGGCATAAAACAAAGAGATAGCATACAGTAAGGATGACACAAATCAACCTGTGTTATTAACCTAGATTATACTTGTATTTTCAAGTAGTAACTTAAAGAAGCATTAAGTAGTTTATCTCTGTGAAAAAGGAAAATTCAGTCAATGATACTAGTATGTTCCCTTGGACATTATTCAGTTATCAATTTGGATCCACCGTGTACATCTGCACATTATCCCAAAAACTTGTTTCATAATCTCCTCATTTGAATATGTAGATAATATTGAAATTTTAGCTTTTCATTAAATCATATGCTTTGAGAGCTTCTTATTTGTTGTTGGACAAAACAACAATATAGCAATATAACAAGATGACAAATACTATATCGCTGGGAGAAAAGGAGCTCATTTTTATGAGTTATTCAGTTACTTTGTATATTAATATAAATATCATAATTCTGACGTGACTGCTTTACATGTCCTTAAATTTTTTCTTTGATAGGATGATGAGGTAAGGGAAAGTCGATTCAACTTCACGGTCTATGGGATGGGACCATGTCTACAAGCAAAAGATGGCATGACTGCAAAGGGCCCAAACCATGCTGTTCAGGTAATGCCGAAGAGTCCTGACGAAATGAGGAAGATCTTTATTGATCGGGCCAAGAAGATCGACACCATCTCCAGAGCCTGCTTCCCGTTAGCCTTTTTGATTTTTAATATTTTCTACTGGGTTATCTACAAAATCCTTAGGCATGAGGATATTCATCAGCAACAAGATTAAGCTTTGTGAGCACACATATGCAAATATTCAATTCAAAAGAAAGCTTCTTTCTGGTAGATGTGCACAGGCGTGAGTGTGTGTGTGTGGTGCACAAATACTAACCTTTGTGACAAAACAACATATGAGGAAGAAGTGTACCTTTCATTTGTGACGTCCTGAGTACAATGCTTTTGACTAACACAAGACATATGCTATGAAGATTTTTATTTCACATTAAGTTCTGTTTTTTCATAGTAAATCTATAACTGGAAGTTTTACTGCCAATGTCTTTGATGTATACAATAACACATAGTAGTAGATGTGAAACCTTCTTTGAAATTCCTAGATTTTTAATTCAGTGATACTAACTCTTACAGTTGCAAGATTTGCACAGTAAATTTTATGAAGAGAAAGAGCATATAAAGGAGGTAATAAACACTAATATACAGAGATATAAAACTATTTTCTTACACTGTAGCTACAAATTAATAGAGGTTGATACAGCAAGGACTATAGGATCAATACATCTAAGAATAAAAATATTCAAATTAGAAGACTAAAAATGAAAACTTGCTATTTAGAATATTTAATTTTACTATGTAGAATTCTGAATTTCCTTCTGTGAGGAATTTTTAAAGAAATAATTGAAGGAATCACGTTATACACTAAATTTGCTTTTCTTAAAATTTGTATATGTACAAGTGAAGATATAATACTGAAAATGACATTATTATTCCCAAATAAGTATTATAACTATCCATTTTTAATCATTGCCAAACACTGAAAGATTCTAACCAGCATTTTTATTTTGTTAGATTCTTAATAATTGCCTAAATGTCTGTGTAATATTATGTTTAATGCTTTGATATAATTGAACAAAGTTCAATAAGACTTTTATATTTTAATTTAGAATAAGACTTTAAATTTAAGGAGGTATAAATGTTTACATTTTGATAAAATGAGTTTGATGGAATCACAAATATTTTTCATGGCAATTTTCCCATCAAAGTTATATGAGTTCTGATGCATACCTTCAAATACAAGGCAGGAAAATCTAAAATGTAAAATACATAAGATAAATCAATTAAATAGAGCAAAGATTATTTATTAATTTCAAAATATAAGCTTCTCACAGATATTAATTAAATGAAATTTTAAATTTTGATTTGTCAAGAATTCATAAGATTGTTTCCACTCTTATGGGGCATGTGCTCAATTTGTGCAATGTAAATGCAAACTTGTGACAGTTACAAAATTTTATCATACTTTGATTCTTTTCCAGTTTTTTTCTATTTTATAGATTATTTTTCATATAGGTTATATTTGAAAATGTTTTAAATTGCATTTTAGAGATTTTAAATACTAGTCAGATGCACTGACAGGAAACTAATTATGCCAAATTCTTTACAGAAACAAACAGGAACGATAAATGGTAATACTGATGAATGAAAGAGAAACAAGTCAGTTAGGGTTGAAGATGCTACTATTGCTGACCTTCTGCCACTTCAAACTAAAAGCAAGTACTGCCATTTCCAGCTAAAAATGCCTCAGTGTTCCTGTGTCTGGCTTTATCCCCTTGTCGTTTTTAAAATTTTTTTTTTAGAAAAATAAGATATGCTCAATAGTTTTTACTGGTAAAAAAACTAAATTTTCATCCTTTATAAGTAATTTAAAACTATAAACTATCAGGAAAAAGATCACAATGTTTGGCATTATTGTAAGTTCCACTTAGATACTTTGGGGACTCTGCACTTAAAACATACTTTTTCAGTTGATATGCATGAACTAAAACTGTAGAAATACTCATGCATTCTGGTACTGAAGATTAGAGCAAGACGTGCTTGTGCTCCCTGAGAGTCAGCTGGAGGATTCAAATAAACGATAAACTGCATTGTGCCAACATATCTGAAACTCTGAGTATGTTTTTGTACATATTACATAACTTTTTAAAAATTCTCTGACATTGCTTAAATTATGTGAGTTCTGCCAGAAGGAAACAAAACTATAATGAACTTAGACATAAATATTCCCAAATGAAATCCATAGATATCACTTGTTTTTATTTTATTTTATTTTTATTTTAAAATTCTCTTTAAAAAAAAGCTTTAAACTTGAAATGTAGAAATACCACTAGGAGAAAACCTATCAACAGTAACACTGGTGCAGTAGAAATTCCCACGTCTCAGAAACAATTTACTTTCCATAGGCATAATTTTTCTTTTCCATTATGTGTATTACTATCCTATTACATAAAGAAAACACTCTTTATTCACAAGGCAACAACACAGAAGCAAAGTGGCTGAATTCATAATATATAAAGAAATTTGTTCCCCATAATGAGCTCCTACAGTCTCTTTAGAGTAGGACAATTACATTGTAGCTAGTATCTAGAGGTAGTATTTGCCACAGTAAGCCCATATGAAGTCAGAGTATTAAACCAACCAAGGGGAGAGCATTAACCTCACACTTAAGATGCTGACGTAGAGTGCCTGAGTTCAATACCCAGATGGCCTGCCTCTCTGGTACAAGCAACACAGAACCTGGAAGCAACAGAGATGGTTCAAGCATTAAGTTCCTGTTCCCATCTGGGAGACCTGGATTGTTTCTGGCTCCTGGCTCCAGTCCCAGTCAAGGCTTACCACTGCAGAAACCAGCAAATAGAATCATTGCCTCTCTCATAATTATCAGTCTCTACTCTCTCTGTCTGCCTTCATTTGGCCTCTCAGATTAAAAAATAAATAAATCAACAGGAAAACCATTGAGTGATAAATTTTAAATTGTTTATACATGCTAACTACCACACACTTAAACTGAGATTTAATCTGGACATTCTAAAGTATTTTGAAATAGCCATGTTAGAGAGGATAAATTTTTTGTGCATGAAGATTTATATCACATTTTAGAAATAATTATGTATCATAGCCATAACAATACTTGGTTTTATACCATATGCAATTTTATTAAATCTTATAACTTACCATAAATGTGTTCTATATTCTCTGGCCCAACAGTAGAACATTTAACAAAAGAGAGCAAGAACTAGATATGTATTTTATATTGTTATCATACATGTTTTCTGAACGTTTCTCATTCTGTTTTTTTTTTAATATGCTTTTTTATTCTTAACACGATACACCTCAATCTATTAGTCACTAGTGAGAATTAAACATCAATATTGGCAGCTAAATTTTTCTTTCATCTATAAGTATATACTTCATGAAAGTACACATTACATGAACTCCACACAACCTGAAACTTCCCAAAACTAAAACAGAAAATAATTTTAATATTGAAACTAGGAATTGGCAATACCACAACTCACAATTTTCTCCTAACGACAACTTAGTAGACTCTTAAGTGCAGACCCCAGAGATGGAAAATAAACATCATGACCCTGGGACAGATGAGTGAGATCATGTCTCCTACTCTAGACAACACAACACAAACTCTCAAATTAGTGAGCATATATCATCTGTAGTTCTCAAGCACTTGCTGTTGGATTAGCAAAGATAAGTCATTTAAAACATGCAGATTAAAATGTTGTTCTTTAATGCCAACAAGGCAAAGACGACAAAACAATGGACTTAATCTACACCTTAAGAGAAAATGCATCATTTTTACCCACAATGCAATTTAGCAGTCTGTTCAAGGCAAACATAATCAATGAAACATAACTTATAAACATGATAATTATCTTCTTTCATGGAGGGAATTCATCATAAATCATCTTAGTGACTTAGAGAATAGTTTTTGTGTATTTGTAATTACAGGTTTGTAATTCTAAATTATGCCCACCAATTGCACACATAATTATATATTTTTTCTTGTTAAACTAGTATTCAGTTTTTTTGAGTTAGGTCATTTTATGTCTGTGCTTATTTTCCAAACTGGATTATGAGCTGTTACAAAGGCATTGGAACTTTCAGCCAATTACCTCTAGTGGATTGAAAACTTAACTTATAATGTTAGTGGTTGATTCCATAATTGTCTTCAAGAAGCATTTAGTTACAAAAGCTGCACAATTGTTTTCATGTCAAATTTTAATATTTTTATAACTAGAAGTATACAGTGGCCTGATTTGCTCAAACAAAATGTGCTGTTTTTTGGTGCAATTTTTTCATGTTTTGACAAGGTTAGTTTCTTTTGCTGAGTCTGAACAATGGGCAATGGAGAGGTCTGACAATGAGGATTAGAATTTTGGAAGTGACTTAAACTGTAATGTAATTAAAAAATGAGTCTGATTCCCTGTAATGCTTTCATAATTACTTAGGACATCCTCTCTTAAAGGGAGCAATTGCATTCATAGCCTTGTAGGAATAATAACTATCTCAATGGGCAGTGAATAACAAATAAATTCTAACGAAGCATGCAGTCATTATCTACAATGCAAATTATACATGGACCACTGGAGACTTAAGGAGAAATATTGGGCTTTTATTTTCAACTTTGAAATTTAGGAACTCATCACTCTGACATTTAAAAAATTGCTAAACAGTCAAAAATTGTAGTCGATGGTTGTAAGAAAATCTAGTGTTTTAAAAAAATGCAATGCTCACATGTTAGAAGACATAATATGTGCAAGGAAACAGATGTCCTTTTTATTGAATGTAACTAAAACACCCCACAACCCAATGCACTTTTTCAGAAACTTCTTACTCGGTAGACACATTGCTTTTAAAGATTTAAAAATATCTACATATATTTTCAAGGCAAAAAAACAAAGACAGAGATAGAGAGACCGATCACCTGCTAATTTCCCACAGCAGTTACATCTGGGCCAGATCTAAGCCAGGAATTACAACTTCAGGCCAGGCGGTGGGTGCTACATGCTTGAGCTGTCACCTGGGGCCTCCCAAGGTGGGCATTAGAAGGATGCCAGGATAGAAAGCACAATTAGAACTTGAACCCTGGCACTCTGGAATCAGATGTAAGTGTCCCAAACAGCATTTTACCTGTTTCTCTGTAATACCTGGAGTTGAATATTCACTCCAGATACATTGGCAATTATTTTCTTACTCATG